CACCAGGGAGGATGGCCACGCTGCAATCCCTTCTCCTCTTGGGATCTTGGGCACGCACACACACGCACCTAGTGTGAGTTTAAGCCACCGAGTCTGGGACTCGAACCGCAGTTGACTGCATGGGAGTCCAGTGACACAGCCATTACGCCAACTCCTTAGGGCATCCGTGCTCTCCTCCCGGGAGCCTGGGCATGCATGCACATGCACCCAGCATGAGTTTCCAGCCATCAGATCCAGGGCTCTAGCCATGCTCGGCTGTGTGGGAGTCCCACACCGTAACCACTACATCGTCTGCCGGTTCCTCCTCTCATTTCTTTCTCTCTTTCTCTTTTTTTTTTTAAATTTTCCTTCTGAGAGAGGGGTAGAAAGATATTCCCCAACAGGGCCTTCACGCAGCACCTCACCCCTAGTTTCAGCCCACCCAGATCATGGGCACACATGTCCCTGGCATGACGTGGAAGTTAAGGGGTGTGAACCCAGAACCATCCGCACGTGGGGACAGTTGTGTAACTGCTGTGCCGTGCCTGGCCCCTGCCTTTTTCTCCTGCTGGGAGTGGAGTAAGTCAGCTGAAACATGGGGCAGTCAGAGCAGGAGACAATCCCGTGTTTCTTTGGCCAGTGTCCCGTTTGGTGTCACCAAGATAGGCATGCCCCAGACGTGAACGGAGCCCAGCGTTCCTTCTTTCCTTGGGCAGTCTTGATTTACGTTCTGCCTCTGTGGATTCTGTGTCCCCCTGTCCTTCAGCCAGTCATGGAGATCTGTCGGGTGAGCTGGGGGTGCCCACGTGGCAGTCCCCAGCCCTGCCACCTGCTGTTACCCACTTTCCTACTCACCTGATGCTGAGCTCTGGGGCCACGGCGGGCTGAACCGGAGGGCCGCTGAGAAGCCATCTCCCCGCTGGAGCACGGGCAGACGCGGCTGACGAGGACTGTCTTATTTTTCCAGTCTAAACTGGAGGCCCGAGAGTATCGAGACGCTCAGGAATTTGGCGCTGATGTCCGATTGATGTTCTCCAACTGCTACAAGTACAACCCCCCCGACCACGAGGTGGTGGCCATGGCCCGCAAGCTCCAGGTGAGGCTCGGGGGAGGGCACGACTGTCTGAGCAGCAGAGCCTGGCCGGGTCGTTGCCGGGCCAGACCCAGATGGGCCTGACGGGAGTTTTTAATGTGTCACTCTCCTTGGGGTCAGACCCTGTGGCTTTGGAAGAGTGGATGAACCCAGACAGCACGCACATTTTAATTAGGGTTATTAAAAGCGTGGCTGATTTTGTTCGCGGTATCCTGTCGATGACCCCTCTCACCCTCTTTCACTCCGCCCGCATTTGATTGTCGTTGGCCTGAACAGGGCCTGTGCTGTGCGTGGCCCGATCTCTTCTCCAAACAGCCCTGTCTCAAGCCAGCAGGGGGTGCTCTTGCTCGGTGGACTTGGTCGCAGCTGTCAGCTGCAGTGACTGCTTGACCGCCGGCAGTTTCTCACCTCGGCCTTTTCAAAGAACTCTCGGCCTTTTCAAAGAACTCTCGTTTGCCTTCTGGCTGCAGGGCAGTTGGAGCTTGCTAGACCTTCCCTGCCACCGTGATTCCCCGTGATAGGCCTTCACTGGCCTTTCCCTTCAAGTCGAGAACCCTGGTGGTGCCCACTGCAGTGCACATACCAGCAAGGAGAGGCAGATTCCAGCACGTGGAAGCAAATCCTAGTTTTGTTTTTTAAAAAAAAAAAAAATTGAAAGAAATAGAGACCCATATTTAAACAGTGACTAAATCGGGGGTTAAGTGTTTTGGGGAATAAAGTCAATGTTTAATACTTTCACAATCTGCTTTATAAAATCTTTTCAATTATGTGTAACAGACTTGAAGGTTTTTCTTTTTTACTGCTAGTTTCTTGGCTTCATTTTCTGGCTTTTGGGGAAATTCCCTCTGATTTGGCGCTGTCTGCCTGCCTGCTTAGCAAGCACGGCTGTCCCATGGCTTCAGAATGTCGCTGCAGTTCGAGCACACGGCCACCTGGTGGCAGTGACGCCTTTCATTTGTGCTTAGACTGAAGACCTTTTGGTCCCTACTGCCTGCCTGGGGACCCATACCCTCCCGTACCCCTTATTTGCCCTCGTGGAAGCAGCCAAAGCAAATACATTCCCTGCCTGCAGCAAAGACTGCTCTTTTTTCTTGTGTTATTAAGAAAAGAAAAAGATCCCTCATGGGGTCTAGCAGTCTGACCTCTTCCTACTTTTTGTGCCTTTTTCCTGTCCCAGCGCCACCTCGTTCTTACAACCTCTGCTTTTCCGGTGGGGGTTTCCATCTCGTTTAAGCTGTTTCTGTTTTGTTTGGGGGAGGGAGGGCGCGTGTTTCTTCTAGAGCGGAGTGACGCTGCCCGAACTTGGAGCTGACCCACAGCAAGGCCACTGAGATGTCTGTCACTGAGCAGCCTCCCCAGCACCAGAGTTTCTCCCTGAGCATGATTTTAGGACCCAGGCTGGACTGGATGAGGTGCTCGCCATCCCTGAGTGTCCAGTTTGGGGTGCTGTGGGTGCCCTGAGCCTGCTTTGCCCACCTCGGGGTGGGTCATCGTGGTATTGAAAGTACTTACCCTCTCGGAAAGAGTTGGGACCTGCCGGGTTAGACTGTATCCAAGGAGTGGGGTTTACAGAGAGTCACTCAGTGTACAGCGGAGGACCCGCTTCATCTTCCTCTTTCACCTTTCTCATTCTGGGCCTGTAGGAAACCTACCTTTCCCAGCCTGACAGCTGTGGTCACAAAGGTGGCCAGACGCTGGGCGTTCCCTCAGAGCCAGGGGTGGCTTGGGCTGACGACCGCTGGCACAGCAGTAGGCCCCTGGCCGCCGGTGGCACTGCCCTCAGCCCCTGCTCAGTAGTGGGGCAGAGAGTGAGCCAGAAGTGCTGGCAGCCAGTGCACTGCCCTTTCCAGGGAGGACACACACGTGTGTGCAAGGCAGTGTGCAAAACACACTGAACAGTACAGTGGGATCCTGCACCAGATCTCAGAGGCCAGGAGCATCCCGGGGTGTGGCCGTGTGTGTGCGTGTCCTGTCTTCACTCACAGCTGCTCCCCCTGTATCTGGCACTCCGTGGGCCTCCCACTTGTATTCCACACTGTCACTGAGGGGTCCCCATCTCTGACCCTTGGCTCCCAAGTGTGGCCTCCTGGCACCTGAGTTTGTTTGTTTCATTGAAGGGAAAGGACGCTTCTCCTGTGTGTCCAGTGTAGTCTGGGATCACGGACCCTGGCTGACATTGAGCGAGAAGGGACACTTGCTCTGAGCCCAGTGGGGTGTGCTGAGATTGGGATGCACGTGGTGGCTAGACCTACAGAAGAGTGGGGTGAGGGGACCACGGGCAGGAAGCCAGGCCCACGGGAGACTCTGTTAACCTGTCAGGAAGAGGCCAGTGGTGCTGGGGATTGGTGTCCTCTGTCCTCACCATCCATGCCCTCCCTCACGCGATTCCTGCCCACACTCTTACCCCCGGCCCTTCTCTCATCAGCGTCATCCTCCCTGGGTCTCTACGGCAGTCTGTCTTCCGTTCTTGATACATCACGGCCCCGTGTCAGGCCCACCTTAGCACTCTGGACAGGTTACAGCTGGTTATGAGTGTTCGTTCCCCTGTCTAGTGCCCTCTGGACTGGGAGTGACTGTCCTGTCTGCCACGGTCTGCCTGGTGGGGGGGTGTCTTCCTGCAGCAGCTGTGGACCTGCGCCACGAGGATTTCCCAGGATACCCCCTCCCTGGGCTGGAGCAGAGGTCTCACTTCCTATGAGCAGGGAAAAATGTATTTATTTATTTAATTCCATTTGTTCTTATTTTTCAATTTGAACGGACAGTGAGTGAGCAAGAAAGCAAAGCGAGAAAGGAAGCTGCCAGGTCCAGGACTCGGACTGCAGTCAGCCATGTGGGAGCCCAGCACTACAGACCAGCACGCCTTTGGCCAGCCCCATTGTTTGTTCTTAAATGCTGGCGGGCACACGTGTTCCCCAGAGAGGAAACGGGAGAGGGAGAAAGCACCCCCCTAGTAGGGGTGGTCACACTGAAGTCCCTTCTCCATCTCTTCATCCTGTCAGGATTTAGGGCACACTCATGCCTGGTATGTTTTTCAAGCCAGGGCTGGGATTCAAACTGTTGTTGGCCATGTGGAATCTGGCTGCCTTAACCACCAAGCTATGGGGCCAGCCCTTTTCTTTCCTGTTCTCGGATCTGCTCAAGGATTCATCTCTGCGTAAATCAGGAGGTTACTGCCCTCCTGGTGCTCAGTCAGCAAAGGCATTTTCACAGCGGAGTCGCAGAAAGACTGCTTGCTGGGAGGGAAGCCCCGCACAGCCGTGTGGGACGCCCGCTGTGGGGCACCGTCTCTCCCCAGCTGTCAGGAGGGCTGGTTCTGTCCGGCATGCCTCTGACGGAGCTCGCGCCCATGGTGCCTGACTGACCCCAGGCGCTGCAGCCTGGGAAGAGGTCCCTCCCAACCTAGTGTGAGTAGCCGATTGATGTGCCTATTCCAGGCTTAGAGCAGATCTTGAGGACCAGCAGATAGCGTAATGGTTACATCACTGGACTTCCATGTAGTTGACTGCGGTTCGAGGCTTAGAGCCGGCAGCTTAAAACTCATGCTGGGCGTGTGTGTGTGTGTGCATGCCTACTCAAGATCCCCAGAGGAGAGTGGAGAAGGGATTGTGGTGTGGCCATCCCCCCGGGGGGTGGTGATTTTTCTCTCTCTCTTTCTCTCTGGCAAGTGCAAGCACCCTATAGGAAAAATAATCTCTCTCAAAAAAAAAAAAAAAAAAAAGTGGGATTCAAACTCATGCTGGGAAGCCAGCCCTGTCCCTTCCCCTCTGGGCCTTCACTAGGTTGACCCTGGAGCACTGTTGGTTGGGGAGTGACCTACTGGCGCTCAGTGGGGTGGCTGTGCTAGGCCTCTGTCTTCTGGAGGGGGGTCCTGTGCTCAGCAGCCTTGGCTAATGTTTGCACCTCACAAGGCGGCTCTGCCCCGGCTCATCCTCAGCACCCCACATCGCTTCCCCATACTTTGTTTTGTTTTGTTTTTGAGAAGTTTTGCTATAGGGTGCGTGTGTTCCCCAGAAAGACACAGAACAGAGAGACAGAAAGCGAGAAATCACTGCCCGGGGGGATGGCCACGCCGCAATCCCTTCTCCTCCATTCTCCTCTCAGGATCTTGGGCATGCACACACACACGTGTCCGGTGTGAGTTTAAGCCACTGGGTCCAGGACGCGAACCATAGTCGACTACATGGGAGTCCAGCAACGTAGCCATTACACCAACTGCTGGTCTCACTTCCCCATTCTTTGTCACCCTAGCCTCATGTGCCCTGGAGATGCATCAGCTCGTGGCGTGGCACTGCCCAGCTCAGTGTTCCTGGGTGTCCTGAGAGGGGTGGGGAGGCAGACTCAGACGTGGGCCGCTGTGGCAGCAGCTGGACCGTCCATGCCCTGCACCCTGTGGAGGCACTCTGCTGCTGCGAGGTCTTCGCACATGCTGTTCCCTTGGCCCGAGGAGCCTCCGGAGAATGGGGGTGTCCTGCCCTAGGCCCGCTGTCTGTCGAGCACCCTCAGAATGATGCTTCCAGTGGCTGCCTGCCTTCTGTGACTTCGGGCCATGAGACCTTACCTCAGTTCTGTCCCCTGGAGAGGGAGGGCCGGCCACTTCAGGGCCAACCCGCCGTCCAAGGTAGCGAGAGTTGAGAGGAGCGTTGGTAGAGCTGTCCGAGGTGGGACGCTGCGCTGCGTTCCTCAGCCATCGCTCACCCTCGCCAGCACTTCTGTCCGGTCGGCCCCAGCAGCCTCACGGGCACGGCTTTTCCTTCCCAGGACGTGTTCGAGATGCGCTTTGCCAAGATGCCAGACGAGCCCGAGGAGCCAGTGGTAGCCGTGTCCTCCCCGGCGGTGCCTCCTCCCACCAAGGTGGTGGCCGCACCCTCATCCAGCGACAGCAGCAGCGACAGCTCTTCGGACAGTGACAGCTCCACTGATGACTCTGAGGGAGAGCGGGGCCCGCGAGCTCCGGGAGCAAGTAAGGCCCAGGGATTTCCTAGAGACGTTGCCTACCCTCTGTTCCTGCAGGGGCGGGGTGCCCACCATCCCCTGTGCTCCCTCCCCCCCACTGGGTCAAGTGCTTGTTGATTATGCACGTGTGTGTGGAGATTGGAGGCGGCATGGCCACGTCCGGGCAGAGACGAGGCTTTTAGACCCTTCAGTGTTGGGGAGGAGGTGGCTGGGCCAGGGCGTCCCTCTCCCTGGGGCTGCCTGGGTGCCTGTGCACTGTTGCCCAGCCCTCAGGGGCCTCAGCTGGGATCAGCCTGGCAGGGGACTTAGCTAAGTCTGGTGAGGCGGGAATCTGGTCCATATGGCAGGCCGCAGAGCTGGGGGCCTGGGCGGGGAGCACAGCCTCAGCCTGGGGCGTGCGTCTCGCCTGTCTGGCCCACAGCTCAAAGCCGTGCACGAGCAGCTCGCAGCCCTCTCGCAGCCCCAGCAGAACAAACCAAAGAAGAAGGAGAAAGACAAGAAGGAAAAGAAAAAGGAAAAGCACAAAAAGAAAGAGGAAGTGGAGGAGAGCAAGAAAAGCAAAGCCAAGGAGCCTCCTCCCAAAAAGACAAAGAAAAACAACAGCAGCAACAGCAGCGCAAGGTCTGTGCCCCCGAGTCTGCCCTGGGTGGTGGGGGCTCCTCCCGTGGGGGTCTGCAAGCCGCACCTGAGCGCCCAGCGTGGGAAGGGCAGTCCTCGGCAGCCGCGATTCTCCAGGCCTGCCCCCTGATGGCTGCCATGTGCCGGGCTCACCAGGTCTGGCCGGGACAGGTAGCCTGCTGCTGGTGGCAAGGCTGGGGGCACGAGCTGTCTTCCTGGTGGAGGCAGCTGGGTCGCATGTGGTAGCACCCTCTATGCACACGGAGGAGCGAGTGCCCAGCTTCCCTGGGGCACCCGTTGTTGACGGTGTCTGCATCGTCCCTTCGTAGCAAGAAGGAGCCGGCGCCCATGAAGAGCAAGCCCCCACCCGCGTACGAGTCGGAGGAGGAGGACAAGTGCAAGCCCATGTCGTACGAGGAGAAGCGGCAGCTCAGCCTTGACATCAACAAGCTCCCCGGCGAGAAGCTGGGCCGCGTGGTGCACATCATTCAGTCGCGGGAGCCCTCGCTCAAGAACTCCAATCCCGACGAGATCGAGATCGACTTCGAGACCCTGAAGCCATCCACCCTGCGCGAGCTGGAGCGCTACGTCACGTCCTGCTTACGGAAAAAGAGGAAACCCCAAGGTGCTCACGGGCCCTCTGGGTGCCAGGGCCTTCCCGTGGGCACCCTCAGCTACCTCTCCCTGCCTGACTCTGCCCTCTCCTCTGCAGACCGGTTATAAAACCTGTATCCTCATAGAAACATCGCACCAGGCCCTGGGCATCCAGTGCTTTTTCAGACTCTCCGCCTGGGCCCAGCGGGTGTCTTAAGCCTTGCTCTGAGCAGCAGCTTCTTCCCCTCCGTGCTGCAGAGTCAGCCCCAGGAAACTGCCTCTTTCGGGTCTCTGCAGGGCATGGCTGGGAGAGCCAGTCTCTGCTTCTTCTAGGGGGACACTTGATGTGGCGCCCTCACTAGTGACAGTCTTCCAAGCATTTTTTTTTCCTCCCCTGGTATTACTGTAAAGGGTGTGTGTGCTTGTGGAGGGAATGCAGAGAGAAAAGGCCGCCCTGCACCCCGAAGGTGACCACACCATAGTTCATTCTCCTCTTGGGACTTCAGGTGCACACACGCACGCACGCACACCTGGCCTATCTTTCAAGCTGCTGGGTCCCAGACTTGAACTGCAAGGTCAGCCATCTGAGACCCAACTGGCCCACACATCTGTCACATGACATGTGCCTCATCTTTTTTTTTTTTTTTTTGTGAGGGGTTTTCACTATAGGGCACGTGCGCTCGCCAGACAGACAGAGACATCGAGACAGAAGGCGAGAAATCACCCCCAGGGGGGATGGTCACGCCGCAATCCCTTCTCCTCCTTTCTCCTCTTGGGATCTTGGGCACGCACGCACATGCGCCCAGCGTGATTTTTAAGCCACCGGGTCCGGGACACAAACCGCAGTCGACTACGTGGGAGTCCAGCGACATAGCCATTACGCTAACTGCTGGTTCCCTACATGTACCTCATCTTGACTCGCAGCTTTCCTCTCAGCACCACAGGACTCAGGGTCCATGTCAGGCCACTCCATGTGACCTTTGTCCACGTCAGACTGGCTCCTGGAGGCCTTGGGCTTCTCCCCAGGGTGCCCTACCTGGTGGCACTTGGGCTCAGTGTGCACAGCGGATCGCCAGGCACAGGGACCCCTGAGGCTCTCCCTGACCTCGCTTTGTCTCTGGCATCATGTCCTTTTTGGGTTCTCTTCACCCTCTGCCAGAAGAGTAACTGAGGGGCTGGAGTTCAGTAGGAAATGACTCCCTGCTCGGTCTCCAAATAAGCCCTACAGGGGTTCTGAAAGAGGGAGGGCCTTGAGATTTCGCCGTGAGCCAAGCATGTGGCCGGTGTGCAGTAGGCTTCCGTTGGGGAGCGTGGGGTCCTAGGGCAGTGGCGGCTGGTGGGTAGGAGCAGCCCCCGGGGTTCACGGGCACAGGCTTCCCACTGCCCCTTCCTCTGCGTGCTTGGGGCAAGCCCAGAAGTACCAGGGACCTTCTGGGTCGGAGCTTTGCCTGATGCAGCTCCTGTTTGGATTGCAGCCGAGAAGGTGGACGTGATTGCCGGGTCATCCAAGATGAAGGGCTTCTCATCCTCGGAGTCAGAGAGCACCAGCGAGTCCAGCTCCTCTGACAGCGAAGACTCTGAGACAGGTTAGGTGACTCGCGCCGAAAGCGTCTGGTCGCGCTCCTCTCACCTGTGTGCAGGGGTGGCAGTCGTAGGAACATGCGGGGCAACTTTCTCCCTGGGGGTGGCATAGGCCTGGCCCTCACTGCCCTCTGGGGCCTGGCCAGGGACAAGTGTTCCATCCCAGACGGTTCCACCCACCTTCTGCGCAGAGCAGTCTACATCCCCGTGGTCTTTCCTGCCTTACAGCCACACGTGCTGCGGCCTTGTGGAGTCCCTGCAGCTGGCACCTCGCGGGCCAGCCTGCTCCTCCCCAGGGTGCTCAGTGCTGCGTGGCTCACGCCCGACTCCACTCTGATGTTACACTGGACACACGTGGCCTGCCCCTGACAGCCTGCCCTCTCCCCATGCCCCTGGGCCTGCACATGTGCCTGCTGCCCGTCAGCCCGCCTGGGCAGCAGCTCAGGGCAGGAGGTGTGGGTAGGTGGCAGTGCTAGGAGTTGGGTGGGGGTGGGAGGGGCCGTTTTCCTTCAGGTGCTCACTCTCCTCCTCTTCAGGGGAACAGGGCACATGGGCCTGGAGGGGAGGCGAGGGGAGAGAAGAAGCCGTAATGGAGGAGGTAGGAGCCTGGAGCCCTGTCTGGGGCGTGCAGGCTTGCCCCCAGGCAGGTCTAACTCCATCATCTGAGTAGACCCACTGAGAGAGCGCCAGCCCTGTGGGCTCTGGTGGGCCAGAGGAATGTGGCCCCCAGTGGGACCTTCCTGGCGTGTTCTTCCATGGACCTGTCCCGCCCCCAGCACTTCACCCTAACGACATAAACATGCACCTCTGCATGATCAGTGCATGTAAGTAGCGATCAGCTGGTGCCCAGGCGGTCACGGATCCTCCTAGCCGCTCAGAAGACCCATGTGGCTCTGCCTTGTGTGTAGGTCATCTGGGCCTTGGCGTAGGCGTCCCCCCTCGCCCTGACAGCCTGCTGCCCTCAGCTTCCGGAGTGAGTTCGGGGCTGCTCTCGACGTGGGTGGGCTGAGGCTTCTCCTGGACTCCTGAGTGCTCTGGACTGCCGTGTTTTCTGGTGGGCCTGAGTGAGGTGATGAGGTTGATGGAGCCGGTTTCTCCAGCACCAACTGCTTTTCAGGACTTTCTAACCGGCACCCCTGTGTGCTCGTTTCCCTGTCGGCCAGCAGAGGGCGCTGCGCCCCAGGCCTGCCCGGGGAGGGCTGCTCCTGGCCGTCCCAGGCTGGAGCGGGTGGCATGAATGGCTGTATTCTTGGGCCCAATTAGCATTCCTGGTGGCCTCCGACTTTTCGCGCTCAGTGCTTGCTCGCCGGGGCCCTGGGGCCTGGGGCCTGGGGCCTGGGGCCTGGGGCTGCACGGGGGTGGGCAGGCCCCTCCAGACCGCAGTGGGGTGTGCTGGGACCGGGAGGACCCGCG